TGCTGAGTAATATTTCATTGTATGTATGTACTACATCTTCTTTATTCATTCCTCTGTTGATGAACATTTAGGTTGCTTTTATGTCCTGGCTGTTGTAAATAATGCTGCAATGAACATTGTGGTACATATATCTTTTTGAATTATGGTTTTCTCCAGGTGTTTATGCCCAGGAGTAGGATTGTTCGATTATATGATAGCTCTGTTTTTAGCTTTTAAGGGACTTCCATGCTGTTTTCCATAGTTGCTGTACCAGTTCACATTTCCACCAAGTGTAGAAGAGTTTTCTTTTATCCACACCCTGTCTAACACATATTGTTTGTATAGATTTTTTTTTTTATGATAGCCATTGTGATCAGTGTGAGGTGACATCTCAATTGTAGTTTGATTTGCATTTCTCTAATGATTAATGATACTGAGGATCTTTTCATGTGCTTTTTAACTGTCTGTATTTCTTTTTTGGAAAAACATCTATTTAGATCTTTTGTCCATTTTTTGATTGGATTGATTTTCTGACACAGAGCTGCATGAGATGTTTACATATTTTGGAAATTAAACTCTTGTTGCAGATATTTCTTCAAATATTTTCCCCTATTCTGGGGTTGTCTTTTTGTTTTGATTATGGTTTTCTTTGCTGTGCATAAGCCTTTAATTTTAATTAGGTTTCATTTGTGTTTTTTGTTTGCTTTTATTTTCATTACTCTATGAGGTGATATTACCATGATTTGTATCAAAGAGTGTTCTGCCTCTGTTTTACTCTAAGAATTTTATAGTGCGTGGCCTGACATTTAGCACTTTGATCCATTTTGAGTTTATTTTTGTGTATGGTGTTAGAGAATGTTCTAATTTCATTCTTTTACATGTAACTGTCTGACTTTCCTGGATTGTTGAGGAGGCTGTCCTTTCTCCATTATCTATTCTTGCCATTGGTGATAGGTAATTTGATAGGGATTGTACTGAATCTGTAGATTTATTTTGACAGTATTGATTCTTCTAATCCAAGAACATGACATGTTTTTCCATCTGTTTGTATTATCTTCAGTTTCTTTTATGAGCATCTTATAGTTTTCAGAGTATAGGTCTTTTGTCTCCTTAGGTAGATTTATTCCTAGGTATTTTTCATTGTTGATGCGATGGTAAATGGGACTTAATTTCTCTTTCTGATATATTTTGTTTTTAGTATATAGGAATGCAAGTGATTTCTGTGCATTAATTTTGTATCCTGCAACTTTACTGCACTCATTGATGAGCTCTTACAGTTTTCTGGTAACATGTTTAGGATTTTCTGAGAGGCTTCCCAGGGTGGTGCAGTGGTAAAGAATCTGCCTGCCTATGTGGGAGATGCAAGAGACATGTCTGAGTTGGGAAGATCCCCTGGAGTAGGAAATGGAAACCTACTCTGGTATTCTTGCCTGAAAAATTCCATAGGCAAAGGAGCCCGATGGGCTACAGTCCATGGGGTTGCAAAGAGTCGGACACAACTAAGCAGCTGAGCACCCCCATGTCATCTGCAAACTGTGACAGTTTTACTTCTTCTTTCCCAACTGGGTATTTTTGTTTCTTTTTCCTCTCTGATTGTCGTGGCTAGGACTTCCAGTACTATGTTGAATAAAAGTGCCATTAATGGATGTACTTGCCCTTCTTCCTGAATTCTATGCTTTCTGGGCCTAAATGTCTGTTTTCTTTCCCAGGTTGGGAACATTTTCAGTTATTATCACTTCAAAATAACTTCTCTGCCCCTTTGTCTCTCTGTTCTTCTGGAATCCCTTTGATGTGAATGTAAGTATGCTTGATGTCTCCTAAACTGTGATTTTGAAATTCATCTTTCTTTTCTCTCTTCTTCTTACATGATTTCTACTACTCTGTCTTATAGTTTCCTTGTTCATTTCTCTGTTTCATCTAAACTACTGTTGATTCTTTCTAGTGTGTTTTTTATTTTAGTTATTATATTCTTTGGCTCTGTTTGGTTCCTCTTTATATTTTCCAACTCTGTAAACTTCTCACTGTGATTATTCATTCTTTCAAGTTTGTTCACCATCATGATTAAGTCCCCTATATAAGAATAAGTTCCATTCCAACAGTGTGTTCATAAGTCCAACAAAGTTAGCCTAGGTATCCAACTAACACAACTGGCTATATAGTACTACACTATAATAGGTTTATAATATTTTTGCACAAATAATACATAAAAATGAACACAAAGAATAAAACATTTGTAATCTAATAGTACAGTATCTTGCAAAGTACCATAGTACCTTTTTCCAAAGAAGACATCAGATGGCCAATAAATGCATGAAAAGATGTTCATTATCACTAGTTATTAAAGAAATTCAAGTCAAAACTACAATGAGATGTCATCTCACACCAGTCAAAATGGCCATCATCGAAAAATCTACAAACAATAAATGCTGGAGAGATTGTGGAGAAAAGGGAACCCTCCTACACTGTTGTTGGGAATATAAATTGATACAGCCACTATGTAGGCTCTTTAAGAAAATAAAAATAGAGCTACCATATGATCCAGTGATCCTACTCCTTGGCGTATATCCAGAGAAAAACATGGTTTGAAAGGATACCTACACCCTGATGTTCATTGCAGTGCTGTTTCCAATAGCTGAGACTTGGAAGCAACCTAAATGTCCATTGACAGATGAAAGGATAAAGAAAATGTGGTTTGTATAAACAGTGGAATATTACTCAGCCTAAAAGGGGATGAAATAATGCCATTTTCAGCAACATGGATGGACCTAGAGATTATCATAATCCTTGAAGTAAATCAGACAAATAAACATAAATATGTGATATCACTTACATGCAGAATCTAAAAAACAAAAAATGATGCAAGTGAACTTGTTTACAAAACAGGAACAGACTCTCAGACTTAGAGAACAAACTTATAGTTACCAGGGGGAAAGGGTTGAGGGGAGTGATAGATTGGGAATTTGGGATTGACATATACCCACTGCTATATTTAAAATAGATGATGAACAAGGACCTACCATATAGCACTGGGGATGTTGCTCAATATTGTGTAATAATCTAGATGGGAAAATTATTTGAAAAAGAACAGATACATGTGCATGTATAACTGAATCACCTTAAGAGACAGCTGTTCTCCCAAGTTTATTACAACATTATTCACAATAGCCAAGATATTGCAGCAAACTTAATGTCTATTGATGGACAAATAATTAAATAAATATATAATGGACTATTACTCAGTCATCAAAAAGAAGAAATCCTGTCATATTTGACATAGTTGGACTTAGAAGTCAGTATGTTAAGTGTAATGAATCAGAAGGAGAAAGACCCTGAACGATCTCACTTATATGTGGAATCATAAAAGCTTAACTCATAGAAATAGAAAGTAGATGGTACTTAGCAGGGGCTTAGGGGTTGGGGAAATGGGTTGATTTTGATCAAAGGATACAAATTTATAGTTATAAGAGAAGTAAATTCAAAGGATTTAATGTACAGCATGGTGGTTATAATTAACAACACTGTATTGTGTACTTGAATGTTAGGATAGTAGATCTTAAGTTTTATCACCACACACACAAAAAAGGTAATTTCATGAGGGGATCTGTTAACTGATGTTATTGTGGTAATCACTTTGCAACATATGTATATGCAACATATGTGTATATATATATACACACACACAACATATGTATATGCAACATGTGTGTATATATATATACAACATATGTATATGCAACATATGTGTGCATATATATACACATACACACAGTTACATGTGTGTGTGTGAAATAAACATGTTGTACACCTTAAAGTTACATATATTCTATGTCAAATACATCTCAGTAAAGCTGAGGATGAGGGGAGTTTTGTCCAGTAAGTCTAAAGTCTTATATGCCTCAGGGACAGTTTCTGTCAATTTAAATTTTCTTCTATGGCCCATAATTTCATATTTCTTTTGTATGCATCATGATTTTTTGTTGAAAACTGGACATTTTAATATCGTAATGTTATAACCCTGAAAATTAGATTTTTACTCTTTTCTATTTTTGATATCTGAAGGTTGTAGTCAACTATTGTTCAATAAATTTTCCAATTTATTTTTGCAAAAGCAGTTCAGTGTTGTTTGTGCTCAATAAAGTCTCTTTTCCTCTAGCTTGTGTTCAACTAGTACTTTGCCAGAGATTTTTTTGAATGCTAAAAGGCAAAAATTTTAAAACACCACCCTCCTCTAGTCTTTGCAGATTCACTCCATGCGAAGCACTCATTTAGTATTTTCCCAGATAGATTGTTAATAATCCTTAGACTTCTTTCCCACTTGCAGTGAAACTAGGGATCAGCCAGAGGTGAAAGTGTAAGATCGACTCTTGTCTTCTCTGAGCATGAGTGCTACTGGACATGCATATGACTTTTAAAATTCCCTAGTATACACAGCCAGTGTGGAACACTTTAATTTAATTTCCCAAAGAAACTCTCTTTCTAGATTTTCTACTCAGTCTGTTGATGGTCTGTTGTATGTTTGAATCATAATCTTTTGCCCCAGGCAGCTACAGATTTCTCATTACTCTTACAATGTTTTTGGGCAATATGGGCCACATTTGAACCCCATGTGATTTCATGTGAAACTGAGACAAAGCACCTTGAATAGGTCCTTCAGGTAGTTCCCAGACGAATTAAAATACACTCATTTGTGAGTGAGTTATTGCTCCCTCCAGACCTCAGACCATGGTTCCACTCTAGGACATCTTCAGGATGGCCACTGGACCTAGGACAGGGTTAGGCAAGGGGAAATAAAAATGCCACAAAGCTTTCCTCCTATTTTTAAGTTGCCTTTTTCTTGGTTCAGCGTTTACTTGGTTTCTGTGCACCTTTGGTTGTTTCCCAGAGTACCAGCAAAGCTAGTCCTGACAGCTTCTGCTTGGTTTTGTTGTTTCTGTAGAATAAGAGTTTGGCACTCCATACTCTGTCGTTTTGCTGAAATAATCCCCTGTTCCTTTTTTTATTTCTAGACTAGATTTCCTTAAATGGCCTTGGGGAACCACAGCGCTATCACTGAGTTCATTCTCCTTGGACTGTCTGCAGACCCCCATGTCCAGGTGCTATCCTTTGTGCTGTTCCTAGCAATTTACCTCCTGACTCTGCTGGGGAACCTGACAATGATGCTGGTGATCAGAGCCGATTCTCACCTCCACACTCCCATGTACTTCTTCCTGAGTCACCTTTCTTTCCTAGATTTTTGCTTTTCTTCTGCCACAGTACCCAAGATGCTGGAAATTCTTCTTTCTCAGAAGAAAACAGTCTCTGTGGAAGCCTGTCTAGCTCAAGTCTTCTTTGTGTTTGACTTGGGGGGCACTGAAGCCTGTCTGCTCTCAGTTATGGCCTATGACCGCTATGCTGCCATCTGCCACCCTCTGCTCTATGGCCAGAAGATGAGCAACCAGCTCTGTAAAGGTCTGGTGTTAGGCTCCTGGAGCCTGGGTTTCCTGGACGCATTCATCAACATCCTTCTAGCTATGGATTTTGACTTCTGTAGGGATCAGTTTATCCCCTCCTACAGCTGTGAGCTGCCCTCTCTCTTTCCCCTTTCCTGCTCTGATGTCTCCATCAGTCTCACTATTCTGCTCTGCTCCAGTCTCCTGCATGGGCTGGGCACCTGTTTCCTAATCATACTGTCTTACACGCTCATTGTTTCTACCATCCTAAGTATCAGCTCCTCTTCACATAGAAGCAAGGCCTTCTCCACCTGCTCTTCCCACCTCACTGCAGTGCTCCTATTTTATTGTTCATCTTTCCTTCGCTATATAGTGCCAACCTCAGGCTCACCACTGGAGTTGATCTTCTCTGTACAGTACAGTGTGATCACTCCCTTAATGAATCCCCTTGTCTATAGCCTGAAGAACAATGAGGTGAAAGCAGCTATGAAAAGGACCTTTAGAAAATATCTCCATTGCTAGTGACCAAAGACAGGAGATGATGAAGAGTTATCATACTATAGCAGGATATCTTGTTAGTTGACAATAAAGTAATTTCCTGATTATTCCAATATTGGATCTGTGGAAAGCATCTTAAAATTCATAAAGGTATTTGGAGTACAGCCCATAGGTTCGTACTGATCTTAGGACCTGGCTTCACCCACCAGTGGGTGAGCAACAGCATGAAGTCTTCTTGACCCTGACTTCATCCACCAGTGAACCAGCACGTTAGCCCCACCTGGGATTAGTGGGATTAAGAGTCACCCACCTCATGACTGGTCTACCAACCAGTTACTGGCAGCCTCCACACAAGACAGGGCCTAGAAAACAACCAAACCAAAGACCAGCCAAGCCTTCCAGACCTCCCACATCATCAGCCTACCACAACAGAAGGACCCATTCAGCACTCATAGCGGGGAACTATAAGGTATATAGCTTGGATGAGGAAAGGGTGGTGCACTACTGCATGCATAGGATGTCTCCTACAAAAGGCCGCTTTTCCAGAGTTGGGAAATGCAACCAAAATAACAGATACACAAAAATACAAATAGAAACATAGGCAAAATGAAGAGACAGTGTTATATGTTTCAAACGAAGAAATAAGATAAAACCCCAGGAAAAGGACTAAATGAAATAAGGATAGGCAATTTACCTAAGAAAGGATTCAGGGTAGTAATCATAAAGATGATCAAAGAGCTTGGGAGAAGAATGGATGCTCAGAGTGATAAGTTTGATGTTTTTAACAAAGACTTAGAAAATATAAAGAAAAACCAGAGATGAAGAGTCCAATAACTGAAAAATAAAGAATCCAATAACTGAAATGAGAAGTACACAAGAATGAATCAATGGTAGGCTGAATGATACAGAGAAATGGATCAATGAGTAGTAAGACAGAATAGTGGAAATCAATGATGCTGTCAGAAAAGAATGAAAAACAAAAGACTGAAAAGAAATGGGGACTGTTTAAGAGACCTCTGATACAATATCAAGTGTATTATTATTCACATCAAATGAGTCCCAGAATGTGAAGACAGAAAGAAATGGGCTGAGAACGTATTTGAAGACATAACAGCTAAGAACTTCCCTAACTTGGGAAAGGAAACAACCAAATCCAAGAAGCCCAATGAGTCCTATGCAGGAATACACCAAAGAAGAAAACCCCAAGACACATAATATTAAAATGACAAAAATAAAGATACAGAATGTTAAAAGCAGCAAGGGGATAGCAACAAATAATATACAAGGGAATCCACATGAGGCTATCAGCTGAATTTTGAGCAGAAACTCTACAGACCAGAGGGAGTAGCATGATTTATTTAAAGTGATGAAAGGGAAAAACATATAACTAAGAATGCTTTACACAGTAAGGCTCTCATTCAGATTTGATGGAAAAATCTAAAGTTTTACTGAGTAGCAAAGCTAAAACAGTACAGTTCCGCCAAACTGGGCTTACAAATAATGATAAAGGTGAAAATAAAAAGGCCAAAATTAGAAATATGAAAATTATGAAATGGGAAAGCTCTTAGGTAAAGGCAAACATAGTAAAGGTAAAGGTCATCGGTAAAGGCAAGCATATAGTAAAAATAGGAAATCATTTCTTACATGAAACTAGTAGGAAGGTTAAAAAACTTTTTTTTATTTTTTAAAAGTAGTAGAATCATCTATATCCAGAATAAGCAGTTAACAGATACACTAAATATAAAATATGATATCAAAAATATTAATGATGAGGGTAAGAGAGTATACACACAGGGTTTTTAATGCATTTGAAAGTAAGAGATCAACCAACTTAAAAAAAATATGTGTGTGTGTGTGTGTGTGTGTGTGTGTGTGTGTGTATACACTTTCCCCTCGTGGTAACCACAAACCAAAAAGCTATACTAGATTAATACACACAAAAGAAAACAGGATCAAATACAGTCATCAAATCATAAGAGAAAAAAAAAGAATAAAACAGACCCACAAAACAACCTCCAAACAATAAAAAATAGCAATAAGAATATACTTATCTATAATTACTTTAAATACAGTAAATACTCCAGTCAAAAGACAGAGTGGTTTAATGGATACAAAAATAAGACATGTATATATGCCACCTACAAGAGACTCACTTCATATCTAAAGACTAAGAAAGACTGAAAGTGAGGGAATAGAAAAATGTATTCCATGCAAATAGAAATCAAAGGAAAGCCAAAGTAGCAATACATGTATCAGACAAAATATACTTTAAAATAAAGACTTACATGAGACAATGACAGACACTACATGATGATCAAGGGATAAATATAAGATATAAAAAATGTAAATATATATGTACCCAACATCAGTTCAGTTCAGTCACTCAGTCATGCCTGACTCTTTGTGACCCCATGGACTGCAGCACTCCAGGCTTCCCTGTCCAAATCCCAGAACTTGCTCAAATTCATGTCCATCAAGTTGGTGATGCCATCCAACCATCTCATCCTCTGTCATCCCCTCCTGCTTTCAATCTTTCCCAGCATCAGGGTCTTTTCAAATGAGTCTACTTCTTTGCATCAGGTGGCCAAAGTATTGGAGCTTCAGTTTCAGCATCAGTCCTTTCAATGAATATTCAGGACTGATTTCCTTTAGGATTGACTGGTCTGATCTTTTTGCTGTCCAAGGTCAAAAGCATCAATTCTTCGGTGCCCAACACAGGAATACCTAAATACATAAAGCAAATATTAACAGACGTAAAGGGAGAAATTGACAGCAACACAGTAGTAGTAGGGGACTTTAACCCCCCCACTTGTATCAATGGTATATTGATGTAAGCATTTCTCAATGTATGCATATTGAAGCATCACATTATATACCTTAAATATATAAAAAACTTTTTTGCCAATCTTGCTTCAGTAAAGATGGGGAAGATTATGAGTTTGGTGAAAAATGCAATGTCATTTTCAGGATAGGATTAAGAAGCAGAAAATAAGAACATAAGTGGAAACAACTGATGAAATGTGAATGAAGTCTGTTATATAATTAACAATATATTTCTAATATAGACTACTAGTTTTAAAAATTTATTATGGCTATATAGGATTTTAATATTAGGAGAAGGGTGAATAGTTTATAGGAAATCTTGCTTTAGTAGAAATTGTTAAGTTGAAGCTATTACAAGATAAAAAGAATTTATGTTTTTATACATTAAAAAAAGAAAATTGTCTCATAAAGCCTGAAAAGTAATTTGATAAAATTTAGCAGCCATTTTCATGATAAATCTCCCAGCAAAAGAGCCATAAAAAGTAATGTTATCTCATGAAATGTATCTATAATACAAACTTAGAGCTAATGTCATACTTTATTGTGACATATTGAAACCATTATTCCTAAGATCAGAAACAAGGCTAGGATTATCACTACCATCACTTCTATTTAACATTGTACTACACATGCACCTACATCAGTTAATCTATGGCAAGGGAGGCAAGAATATACATTGGAGAAAAGACAGTATCTTCAAAAAGTGGGCTGGGAATGCTGGTCAGCTACAGGTAAATCAATGAAATTAGAACATCCCCTCACACAGTTTGAGGGGATGTTTTGATAGCTCAATTGGTAAAGAATCTGCCTGCAATGCAGGAGACCCTGGTTTGATTCCTGGGTCAGGAAGGCCCGCTGGAGAAGGGATAGGCTACCCACTTCAATATTCTGGCCTGCAGAATTCCATGGACTCTATAGTCCAGGGGGTCTCGAAGAGTCTGACATGACTGAGTGACTTTCACTTTCCTCAAAAATAAACTAAAAATTGTTTAAAGATCTGAACCTAGGATATGACACTGTAAAATTCATAGAAGAGAACATAGGCAAAACATTCTCTGACATAAATCATAGCAATATTTCCCTAAATCTGTCTGCCGAGGGAAAAGAAGTAGAAGCAAAAATAAATGGGACCCAACCAAACTTAAAAGCTTTTGCACAACCAAGGAAACCATCAACAAAATGAAAAGGCCACCTATGGAATGGAACAACCTAGGTTGTTTTGAAAATTTCTCATGTATCCCTGAGAATCTAAAAGTCCATGTTCATCTGTAGGACTGTGTGTATGCCAAACAGTGTTTACACACTAAGCTCTCACACTTGACCTATCTTGAGGGTCTGTGGAAGCAGAAAGTAAAAGATAAGGTGGAATTATGATTTATAGTTATAAATTATAAACTTCCAGGCAAACCTGTTGAAGATATGCCTCAATATGTACATGGAGCACCTCAGCAAAGACTTGAAAGACATTATTTCTATGCATGTAAAGAAATCTCTCTTCAGTCATGTGCTGACCACTAAGATAACCAAGCACAGACTTCAGTGACCACAGTCAACAAAGAATACAGCCTTTAAGAATTAGTTCAATAAAGTCACTAAACAAACACATAACAACAACGAATCCGGGTGAAGAGGGACCATCTTCACATTATGCCACATTTTTTAAGGTCTAGCTTCAACAAAACATTTAAAAACTTGCTAAGAAT